TATGAAAAATAAACTAGGATATCAAAAATAAACTAGGATATGAAAAAGAGTTCAAATGTTTTCTACACACAGGTTAAAGCATCATACCCATCCAAGTTGTACCAGGATGCAGAAAATTAACCAAACATAGTTTTCATACATTATTGAGATGTTTCTATGTTGTTTTAAACTTATTTGAAAAATGAATGTTGGTTATGTTGTATGGATTTTAGTTTTTCTTGACGACTGAAGAAGTCTACGATTAACTTACGATAATGATTCACATGAAGACGATAAACTGGAAATACCTTGAAGCGTTTTGAACTGAGATCTTTTGTTGACAAATGACAACGTCGTAGGCGTTTGGCTAACACATTAAAGCGTACTGCAGCGGATCGTGCGTTGCACTCAGAGAACGGGCTGCCAGTGACTCTCAGCTACTACCACCTCCAGGGTCTGGAGGGTCGACTGACTTAAAGATACTTTGTGCCACTTTAAATCGTGTTGGCTTCAAAAGTTATTCAGCTGTAGAAATACTTCCAGTAATTACTGAGAGTTTTGTTCAAATCTGTCCAGTAGTTAGGGGATATTTTGCTAACAGACAAACAGGGTGTACTCCAACAGCTGATGCTAAAGTTTTAAGCCAATAAACTTCACAAGTAGCAATTAGTGCCTGCATTGTGAATGATTCTCAGCTACTACCACAACAAACTTCAGGGCAGTTTATGCAAAATTGAGCGAATGATAGTTGTTTATATGTTTTGTAATGCTGGCTGTGGCGGCCATCTTGAACTGGTTTAGCTCCAAAAGTTAGTTACTTATAGAAATACATGCAGAGATGATTGAAAATTTCATTAAAATCCTTTTAGTGGTTCACGAGATATTATGCTAACAGACAAAAACCTGAACACACAGTCACAAGCAACATTGATGTTGTTCGCATTTGCCTTTTGTCGGCGGCTGATAACGAAAACTAAAAAACTACATCTACCAAATCTGAACTACTGTACCTTAAGAGTCCAACACATTTCAGAGTATTTGTATCTGATTCCTCCAGAAGATGGAGACATAGTTCAACACAAAACTAGAAAGTGTTTTAAACTTTGACCCAAATGTGCTGGGAGGTGGAACTTCCCTTCAAAATAAATACTACATACACATTATTTCTTATACTTCTGCAATTTTTTTAAACACCTGATTTGACTTAGTTTTCAAATGTTACAGTTTATATATATATATATATATATATATATATATATATAG